TTCCTTCTTTTGATTAGAAGGTTTAATTTTGTGTACTCTTTAATTTACTTTCATCTTCCTAAGTTTAAAGGCATCTATTCTATTTTGTTATTATCCTGACTTTCTCCCCATTTGGAAGTTCTATAATTAACTTTTTCTTTTGTACTTGTCATTTACAGATTGATGCCTCTGGTTCCCTACTTTCAGTCTTGTAAGTTCATTTTATTTTTGAGAATTCTTTTTCTGGGTTGGTTTCTGGGAAATGTCATGTGTGTTAATCTTAGGTTGTTGTCTGATGTTTTGGTTCTCTTTCCAAATGATTCTGTTTAGCATTTCTTATAAGATGTCTTTAGTTTTTATGAATTTCTTTATTTTCTTTTTATTTGGAAATATCCTAATTTCACCATTGTATTTGAGGGATATATAATATAGTTTTACTAGATATATATTCTTGGTTGACAATTTTTTTCTTTCAAAGTTTTATTATGTCATCCCCTTGCCTTCTTATTTTCATGGTTTTTGTCAGGAAATCAGATTTAGTCTTATTGGTTTCCCTTTGTAGGTAACATTTTGTTTTTCCTGAGCTGCTCTCTAGATTCTTTCTTTGTCTTTGGTTTTGGAAAGTTTGATTATGCTATGTCTTGATGACTTTCTCTTGGGGCTTGTTGAGCTTGGTGCATATCTTTTTGTCTTTCATGATATTAGGGAAGTTTTCTGCTAGCAAATCTTTGACAATTCTCTCTTGGGTTTTTTTTTTTGCATTCTATTCTGGAGTTCCAATCACACATACATTTTTCTTCTTGATAGTATCCTATGTAATTCTTAGCCCCCTTTTTTTTCTTCTTCTTCTTTTTTTCTGATTTCTCCTCATATAAATTGGTGTCATGGTATTTTTATTCTAATTCACTGATCTGTTCTATTGATTAAATTCTACTCTTCTATCCTTCCAATGTGTTATTTATCTCTGAAATCTTAGTGTTAATTATCTGGATTTCTAATTTCTACTTTTGTTTTGTTTCTAATTGTCTATTTATTTTGTCATTTTGCTCTTATATTGCTTTCCTGAATTCTTCTAGGGTGTTATCTTTGATTTTATATATGGTTTCTTTGATCTCTTTGGAAGGTCATATACATACATCTTTTGAATTCCTTATCAGGTAGTTCTATTACCCGTTCTTCCTCAGGGAGATTTCCTGTTTCTTTAGTTTGGTCATTTACTTGCAGTATGTTGTTTTGTTTCTTTGCTTCATTTGAAGTTGTTTGTTGTCTCTAAGACATTTTGGAGTTGTTGTATTCAGTGTGTTGATTTGTTTCACCTTGATTCTTTGCTTTGCTTTATTTTGATATATCTAGACAGGCAGCATGAGTGTGCCACTTCGGTCACTAGTTTGGCAGCACTGGGGCACTCTTTACCTGCATTCATGTCAGTGGGGTAACTGGTGGGAGTGTGGGTGTGGGTCTCTGTTTGCTGGTGGTAAAGAGCAGCTACAGGCAGAATGAACAGGTCCTGTCCACCATTTGTCATTGATCCAGTGATTTAGGAGCGAGTGGTGGCACTTGCCTGTTGGGTGGGGTGGTAGGTGGTAGATATGGTAGGTGTGGTTGACTAATGGGGAAATAATGTCCATTTCCTGCTGGGGAAGCAGAGGAAAAAAAAAGAGGAGGATGAGAAAAAAATGGGTAAAAATAAAGGAAGAAAATGAGAAAGGGGAAAAAAAATAAACAAATGAAAGGAAAAAGGGAAGAAAAGAAAAAGAAAAAAGAGCGGTGTGGCAATTGTTCCTGCACTTCTATGGCAGCAAGCACATGGCTCCTTATCCTCTAGGACTTGCACAACTGGCCAGAGTGATGGCAGGTGGCTGTTGCATGATCCACGTAAGTGTGTGCCTCTGGTTGCCAGGGAAAAAGCTACAGCATGTGCAGTGTGTGTGATCCTTGCAAGCAAGTGCCTGTGGAGATGTCAAGAGCCTGGTTATCCTCTAACATTTCCCATAATTTTCAGGGGGTTTAGGTCAAGAACCTATGTTCTACAACTAGAAATTGCCTTATGCTGTATAATCTCAGGAGAGCAAGACTTTTGTTTGTTTGTTTATTAGTGTAATAAGACATTGCATGATATTTTCTCTGTTTCTCAGGATAGGCAATTATAGACCAAATCTGAAGAAACAGAGAAGCTGAATACCTGATATTACAATGACAACCATGAATAATAGGGGCCGGACACCCCAATAGGGTTTACTTGGAGATGACAGAGCCACCCCAGCCCCTGCTCTGCCTGTGCCCCTCCCAGCCATATAAACAAACAAAACACCAAACCGGTTGCCATTGAGTCAATTCCTACTCATGGTGACCCCGTGTGTTACAGAGTACAACTGTGCTCCCCAGGATTTTCATGACTGCAACCTTTCGGAAGCAGATCATCAGATCTTTCTTCCTGACACATTCAAACCACCAACTTTTCAGTTAGTAGTCAAGCTAAACCATTTGTGCCATGTGGGGACTTGTAGTTGTAAGTTTTTGGTCTGCAAGGGCCTGCTGCAGCTACCTCTCCCCCACGAAGGAATAAAATCAAAGAAAATGGGGTACCTTTGTGAAGAAAGGACTGACATCTCGTCTCCAGACTGGCTGTTTGCTTAGGCAGTGAACTTGCCCCTGGCAAGGGCAAAGACAGATGAGGTAGTGGTGGGGCAGCCAAGGGGCAGCCTGCAGTCTCACTCTTCCCAGGGCAAGGAGGTCTACATTTTCTAAAGATCAAGTGAACACTGAAAAGGAAACCAGCTGTAGCCTTTCTTTTTGGCAGTGAGAGGCAATGGGGAGTACAGATGAGGTGGTTGTAAAAGAATAATGGCCTACAGGTCTCCCGGATCAGTGATTTGGCAGTGCAGAGATCCTTGCAAGGATTCCCCAAGAATTCGCCTGTACAGATAGTAACATTATATACAAAGGAATTAACAATGACTCTTGACCCCCATTCTACCTCTTACAACACCCTGGAGAAGATAGGAGGGGAGATTGATTCCCAGAGGCCTACCATCTCTCCTCCCACCATCCTACCTTTGAGGTGAGGAAGGAGTTGTTGTTGGGTGCTGTTGAGCCAATTCCAACTCATAGCAACCCCCTGTGACAGAGTAGAACTACCCCAAAGAGTTTTCGTGGCTGTAGTATTTATGGAAGAAGATTGACAAATCTTTCTCCTGGAGAGCAGCTAGAGAGGTTTGAACTGCCAACCTTTCAGTTAGCAGCTGAGTGCTTAACCATTGGGAGGAAAAGAGAACCTTGCCGCCTCACCACCTTAGAGCCCTCCAGCCCCAAGCCCAACCACAGTGGGGGAGGGGTAACTGAATTGGATAAGGGGTTGGTGTCTTTTACTGGACTTCATTGAGTTTTTTAATATCGGAAAGTATATAGAACCTGTCCAGTGTATCATTAAGGGAATCTCTACCCAGCAGGGGAGGAGATTCAACATGGCACAGCTAGAGGCAGGTTTGTTGTTGTTGTTATGTGCCGTGGAATCGGACCGGCTCATAGTGACCCCTCCTTGGGTTGCCGAGGCAGTATCACTACGGAAATAGATTGCCCAACCTTAGAGGCAGGTAGGGGAGATAAATAAAACCATTTCCTCAATGCATCCTATGGAGTGGGGACTGTTCATAAAGCAGTTATCTGATTAAGAGATTCCTATTCTTATAACTAGGAGCTCTGGTAGTATAGTGCCTAAGGCACTTGACTGCTAACCAGAAGGCTGGCGGTTCAAACCCACCAGCCACTCCTCAGAAGGAAGATGGGGGCAATCTACTTCCTAGTAATACTGGCTCGGAAATCCAAGAAGGGGTCGCTATGAGTCGGGTGCGACTCGACGGCACTTAACAACAACAACAACAACAATTCTTATAACTAGGAACTCTGGTGGCGTAGTGCCTAAGGCATTTGACTGCTAACCAGAAAGCTGGCAGTTCAAAGCCACCAGCCACTCCTTGGAAGGAAGGTTGGGCAATCTACTTCCGTAGTGATACCACCTCAGAAAACCAAGGAGAGTCGCTATGAGTCGGATCCGACTCGACGGCAGTGCGTTTGGCTTGCGTTTGGTATTCTTATAATTAAAGTCAAATCATTATGTGTTTGTGATGTGGCATACTACGTTTATAAACGACCAGATCTTTTTCTATGAATTAAAAACTTGAAATATTAAATATTTCCACATATATGTAAAGAACACAAAGACAAATTGCCTTTTTCTTTTATCTCCTCAAATCTAAGAGGGTTTTTTTTAACCTTATAAATTTACACACAGGGATAACAAGTGTTAAATTTCAATCTATCAGAGATTCACAAACAGTTGATGCAATGGCAGAAAAATAAGTGCATGAAAACAAGTTTATAAATGATTTGTTATACATGTTCACTTATTTGTCAACCATGCCATTCAGTTAAATTGGTTAATTTTCATCAAAATATTCGTCAGGCTACTCTTTCACTTCTATTTAATTTTTTTCTTAAGTGCAATAATGTCATAATTTTTATATCCCTGGTTAGTACTAATGGTTAATGGTCTAGGCTGCCATCAGAAAGGTGGGAGGTTCAAGTCTACCCAGAGGTACCTTGAAAGAAAGGCCAGCGATGTTCTTTTGAAAAATCAGCCATTGAAACCCTTATGGAGCACAGTTCTACTGTGACACACATGGGGTTGCCCTGAGGCTGAATTGACTCAACAGCAAATGGTTAGTAATGTGGCTTCTGTCTGTCACCTTTCTCTTTCACTGTGTCTCCCTTGCCATTACCAGAGGCTTCTTAAGTATTTGCAATTTTATTTTTTTTTACTTAGACAGCAATTATTTCCATATTATATTACAATTACTCTCTAAGTGACTAGCTGTACTGACAAAGAGACATTGGTATGAATGACACGTTCCAGTACAATGCAAACATGGGCTGTGACTCTTCATTCATTGTCTCACTGTAGAGCTGTTGGCAGATTATAGGCCATAACTTGATGTCTTCATCTTCGACAGTCTCCAGCTTTCTTACTTTTCTTGTTTCAATTCTGCATCATCTATTTTCTTGAATCCCAGCCTCCTAAAATGTAAGCAATCCAAAATGTTCTCATCCATCAGAACAATTGCATGTTAAAGCATATCAGAGTACAGGCCAGGCTCCTAACTGCCTAATTATACTTGAGTTGAATTTTATTGCACTTGAAATAGGTGAGATATTGATGGGTTCTTGCAATTGCAATGCCCACTTATAGTCAAAACCTTCCTGTTGACTCCTCTTTCCCTAACCACCTCCCCACTTCCAACCTCTGATTAGTTGCCAAAATCTACCTCAGTGCAATATCTCAGGACCTTAGTAGTAAATCAGCAGTTCTCCTGTTCCTGGTGAATAATGTCCAAAGATGTGTATTCCTTTACTCTCTCCTTCTAGACTTTCATCTCCTCTTTCCAAACCCTTTGCTTTCGCCAGACTCAACCCCAGCTGTTATTGGCTCATCTTGCTTTAGTATCTTTGCTTGTTGTTGTTATGTTGTTGTTATGTTGTTGTTATATGCCCTTGAGTGGACCCGACTCATAGCGACCCCTCTTGGGTATCCGAGGCAGTATCACTACGAAAGTAGATTGCCCAGCCTTCCTTCCAAGGAGTGGCTGGTGGGTACTCTTTTTTTTCACCCCCTCATTTGACTGAAAACGTTCTTTCCTCCTTCCAGTCTTTGAATATTCCAAATAAAATCACCCTTGAAAGCCCAACTC